ATGAATGCTGATTTTTATGCCAACACTCTCTATCTATCTATCTATCTATCTATCTCTCTATCTATTTCAGTCTATTTTCTATCCATCTGTCTGTCTATCTATTTATTTCAGCCTGTTCATTATCTATTTATTTCATCTTTTTCACTATCTATCTATCTATCTATCTATCTATCTATCTATCTATCTATCTATCTATCTGCTAAGAAAGCTGCAGAGCAAGAGTGTATCACATACTTCTTCTGCAAAAAGTTTCAACTTTCTTCGACTTCATAATTTTAGCAAATTGTTTCTTTTTGAGTTCTCTTTCTGAGACATACAAACCTTTTTTTTTCTAATAATTGTCAATCATTTTAATGCGATATTAGGCACAGAATATAAAGTTATTCACTAACTCTGTCTAATTTGTAAACACATTGTTCTATTAACAAATGTATTGTGAAGTGGGATAGAACCGTGTCCCAATAATAACCTACTCGTCATTTATGTCTGACCCTCACAAAGGGGACATGTGTCTATCACTGTGGTGTGTTACAATCTTTGTCTTCTCGCATGACTGATTTCTTCCGCTCCGAACGGCCAACAATAAAATATGACAAAAGAAAAAAGTTCATCGTTTAAAATACGTAACCACATTTGGGTGCTCCAGATTTGTGTCCTTCTACCAAACTAAGCTTAGTAAATAACAGAAGTATTAAAAATTTTTCTTGTCTGTTTTTCTTTTTTGCCTTGAAAAAGAAGTTTTGTCTTTTTTCATTTCTTTTTTTCTCATCTTATTTCTTTTCATATTTGCCTTTTTCTTTCTTGTACATTGCCGCCATTTTTTCTTTCGAATTTCTCTTTTGCCTTTTCTTTTCTTTCTTTCTTCCTTTTCTTTCTTTCTTTTCTTTCTTTCCTTCTTTCTTTCTTTCTTTCTTTCTTTCTTTCTTTCTTATCCTTACTCTTAAACTCTTTCGTTCATACGACTTTTGAATTCTTTTGTTTGTTCGATCAGCCGTCTCTTTTCTTCCTCTTTCCATACAGGAAGTTGGAAAATTCCGAGTACGGGACGTTCTCTTGGCAAGTGGGCGGTGGGGTGGTGGGGAATCATTTTTTATTAACACAATTTCCCCACCTCGTTTCGATGTTAGCTGACATTAAAATCTACTTTACATATCATTAAAACGTAAGCTGCAGGTGACGTACAAGAAGCGATATCCTTTTTTTCGGGGCTTGTATTCTCAGCCCCACTGACACACTGGCCGTTTGTCATGGTTGATTTGAGAGAGCATCGCTGAGGTAAAATGCACTCCAAAAACATCTGCACAATTAAGTACGAAGCAGGAAAGGCAGAAGTATTAGTTAAGGTCGCTAAGTGCATTACTCTTCAGTTACACTAGGTGACAAAATTTTATGAAATTTCTGTTTCGTTACAGGTTTTTGTTTCTTTACCAAATTTGACATGCTTTATATGAAAATCAAATTAGTTTGTCTACACGAAGAAAGGCATAAAAGCAGAACATTTCGGATTACAATAAATATAATGAGATATAATATAATAATACTATATCGAAATAAATATAACGAATAAACAAAACAGTAATTACTTGGGTCACTCAAGACATAAATAAGATTAGTCAGCCGAAATGTGAACTTCGAACTGTCGTTCTCTCGTGAGATCTAGGTAAATTGCTCGACAGTAAATTGCTCGACAGTAAATTGCTCGAAAAATAATTTATGTAACTATCAATTGCTCGAAAGGTAGATTGCTCGAAGTAATTTCGAAGCTCGAAGCACCACGTAAACTGCGCCGTCTCACGACACATTAATGGAGCTGGATATAAAAGGAGCCACAACACTCAACTTTAGCAGTCCTGATTTTCTTTTTCTATATTTGTTTTCTATTTCTATTTCAGTAATTTTGGAGATCTTGAGCCCTAGTGATGGACATAACTTTTGTTGAGAGCGTAAAAGGAAAGAAGTTGTACTTGGATAGATATCAATATATTAAGGACAAAACAGTGAACGATAAGATTTACTGGAAATATGAAATGTGCAAAAAAAAAAAAAAAAAAGGAAATGCTTAGCACGTATTTTATTTTTTTTAACCACAAATTTCGAGCAAACTGCCTTTCGAGAAAAAAAAAATAAGACCTGCTCTATAAATGTACTCGTTCTTTAATTTTAACTGTTCAGTTTACAATAATAAAGTTGTATTATTTTATCTTTTAGTAAATATTAGAAACAATGTAGATTTATTTTTTTAACCACAGGTTTCGAGCAACTGATAGTTCGAGAAATTATTTTTCGAGCAATTTACTGTCGAGCAATTTACTGTCGAGCAGTTGATTTCGAGCAATTTACCGGATACGTCTCTCGTGGGATCTCAACTTTTTTTCTCGGTCCAAATTCTTTACGTAGTCACTTATCATAGCTTTATCCGACTTTCCTTGATATCGTTTCTCCATCAACTGTTCCCATCAACTGTTCTAAAAACATGTTTCCTTCATAAGCTTTGAAGCTCGTTTGATGAACTTGTAAGGGAGAGATTCAGTTGTGTGTGTGTGTGTGTGTGAGAGAGAGAGAGAGAGAGAGAGAGAGAGAGATTAAGGAATTACCTTTGGCCTGCTTTCGGCAGACGGCCGGTTTTTTTACGAACGCATTGACTTTCATTCGTTATCACTGTTCTTTATTGGAACCTACAAACTCACAACTTGTGTAAGAAGATATATAGATAGGTTAATAGGTCAATAATGAAGTTCATGATCTATCTATCTATCTATCTATCTATCTATTTATTTCTTCGGGAACAGCACAAGATTCGATCCAAACAATTTCAGATGAGAGGAAAATAGTGACAACTCTACAGAAAAGTCTGAAGTTGATGCTTTTTTACATTAGCAAACAAACAACTTAATTCTAATTGCAGGGGTTTTTTTTTTCTACGACTGGCCTCTTCATCTCCAGAGTTTCGGATGCAAGTATCTTTTTCGCTTGCGGTACAACACATTATTATGAACATAGGCGTCTGATAATCTCGGAAACACATCGTTTTCCCGCATAGGCTACAAATATTGGGTTGAATTGTTTTATCAGATGTAGAGTGGAGGTAGGAGCATTATGATTTATATTATGACACTGCGACGTGCTGTAGTGGTTAGCAAGCTTGTCGCATTAAATCAATTACGACTGAATAGTGAATTCGATGCTCACTGGGTGCTCCATACTTTCGGCCTTGCTCTTCTAAGCTACGCTTAGAAAATCATCTTTATGATTTATATTTTAGATAGTAAAATGTTGAGTTGATATTTCTTACCAGTCTCGCTCCATGTAATTGTTTACCCTAGCTCTGCTATTCCAGAAACATACAAAGGAAGGTCGTTCAGAATACAACTCGGTAATTCCAAAATCTTGAAATCGCCACATACATCCCACGTGTAATCATCCTCTGATCTTTTCGAGTAAGATGTCTATATTTTCCTAAACTTAAGTGTACGGAAGGTCCAGCAAGAAGAGACGGATGTTGGTTTCCATTGTAAAGAAGCATGGCATTCACCCCCCCACCCACACACTTTTTTTTAGTTGTCAATGAACAGACGCCATTGGATTGTGTCTTAAATCTATGGATTCCAAACAGATCTCTTACATGAGAGTAGAAAAGCAATGAGTAGAACTGGGTCAAATCTGCATATGCCGTATTTCGTATTTCTACATTTTATGTTTGCACCCAGTCAGCTTCATTACGCTAATGTCGATGTCAGCAGCTCTGCAGCAGATTTGGTGAGATAAAATCATACTATATTTATAAATTTACCCATCACTCAAGTCCCATAGACACTCCGACAGTTATATGGCCATAGCTTACAGCAAGTGAGGCATTCCTGTTCCGGTCTCCATAGCAACTAATATGTGTTTTACGGGATATAGTCGTTAGTTCTATGTTCAACCACTTTTGAATACAGACCTGTTCTTCTCCTATACTGCTTATCAACCGCGATTAAAGAGCTCATTCTGTCTTACTATTTAATCCATAGCTGGGAGCAAAGAGATAGATACATGCTTTTCACAAATTTATTGGCGTTTAATTGAATGTAATGAATTCGACTGGAAGATGAAGTTGACTCTCTGATTTCTCATTCCAACCCCACCCCATATATATATATATATATATATATATATATATATATATATATATATATAATATGAACATAGAACATAGAAGTCAACAGGCCTGACGATTGCATATAGCATGAAACAGACTGTCGCCTCTAAGTGTTGACTTCTATGTTCACTTTTATATTTACACACGCTCTATCTCTGATATTGAGCACTTTATCCCATAAATATAGCACACCTTAAGACTATATTTCTTTTTATATATATATATATATATATATATATATATATATATATATATAAATGGACAAAGTCCGACAATTATTTTAAGACATTTTTATGTCTATACATTCCTTTTATAGATACAAATATTTAAGTAAATGCTCTGTTTATAATAAACATTACTAAACAACATTTACCGGCCTGAATGCCCGAGAATTTTTCATAGAAAATTTTCTTCCTCCGACAGGAATCGAACCTGTATCTTATACGGAACCGTCATATAGCCTGACGTGCAATTAACCGATTTGGCCACAGAGGAGGACGAAAATGTCCTATGAATGATAAAATATAGTTTTAAGATATGCCATATTCATTAAAGTGCAGATTATTAGAGATAGAGTCTATGTAAATATAAAATTGGACATTGAAGTAAAAAAACCCAGAGGCGACAGTTTGATTCATGTTTAAACACAATCGTCAGGCCTGACGATTGCGTTTAAACATGAAACAGACTGCTGCTTCTGGTTGTTGACTTCAGTGTCCAATTATATATATATTTCGTAAAATACATCTATTGGATGCTTTGGTACACATCATCAGTGATGTTTTTAGCCGAGGTTGATTAGGGGTTTCGGGTCATTCAACATCATACCCCCTCTCCACGGTGACCCTGCCGATACTGATCGGGTATTGACTTGTGTACCTTCCGTTAGCTAGAATTTTTCCATCTTCCAAACTACACACCATGCGACTCTTCTTGGCAATTTATTGTCCAATCCCGTATATATATATATATATATATATATATATATATATATATATATGTATACAGAATTAACGGATTTACTTTTAATTCGATATTTGTATTATTTAAAGCGTTATTATAGTGGATACTCTTATCTGACATAGACGCCGCAGTTTTATTGTTACTTTAAACAATGTGTATTACGTTTAACGGCCTGCATGTTGGAGAAATCGTCATCAAGATATCTCGAATATGTAATGCACACTGTTTAAAGTAAAAAATAAAGATAGAGCTTCTATTTCAAATCCGAATAACCACTATTATAACGTTTGACGTAATATATATATATATATATATATATATATATATATATATATATATATATATATATCCAGGTAAGATGATTTCCTATTAATTTACCAAATAATTCTATACGTTTAAATTATTTACTAGTTTCTTAAAGAAACCATTATTTACCAACTACAAAAAAATTTATGTACAAAATTCACAAAGCATATAACTTGTTTAGTATTTAGTTAAATTACCTCTCTATCCGACCCACTTTCTGTTAGCTGCCAATTTAGGGGTCATAACCCATTTATAAAAAAAAATAATTTTTAATTTTTGCTTCTTCGTTTAGTTTAAATTTAACGTAGGACATATTTGATTGGTTGATCTAAGTAAAGACCTCAAGCATTATAACCTTTTTTCGAGAAAAAAAAGAGGTTGTATTTTGCTTTTAAATCTCTTCAAAATCATTCACTCGCCAGTAATTTACAATCACCTGATGAGACGCATTGATATGCGTTGAAACACGATTGCATGTGTGTAGCAATTTTACATGTTTTCGGTGTAATATCCTAAAACATATATATATATATATATATATATATATATATATATATATTATACCAGAAAACAGTAGTATAAAAAAGTGTTCAATGCACGTATGAAAAAAATAAAATAAAAATTTAAAATCCGGAGCTTTTAAGTTTGAAAAAATTTGGAGATCAGCCAATCACGCTACCTTGGTTTCAACCTCTCGGTATCCTCAAGCGATATGCGCCAAATTTTACTATTCTAACTATGGAAGCATCTTGAAGCGTGACAGCTGGAAATTTCGCATCGTAGTCAAATTGTATTTTGAGTTTCAGTCACAGTGAATTCACACTCTTTTTAATCAACATGGTATAGGTCCAGGCGTACTAGATTAATTTATAGGGACCTACATTTACTAAACTGGCGTAAAGCAAGCAGAGTACAGTGCTCTTCGATAAAAGTGACTCACCTGATTTTTTTAATTAAAAATTTTTTCGCTTATTGTTTTTGGGGTCAAACTAATTTTTAGACATACTAATATAAAGACCCCTTCCTGGCCACCTAGTAAAAAAGTTTACTCACCCTAAGGTATTCTATTGATAATTATAATTTTGGATATAAATGAGATTTAGGGAAAAACTCTATGCAAAAAAAAGTGACTCATTTATTTCCTGCAACTAGTAATCAATAGAAACATAACCGAACAGCTTTAAATAAAGAATAATAGAGGTATAATTTATTTATAATAGGTAATATAGTTCGAAATATTTAATAATCTATGGGTCCTCCTTTATTTTGAATAACCTTTTCAACCCTTTTTGGCATTGACTTGATTAGGTTCTGGCAAATCTCATTTCCAAGCATTGAATTCGGATATGAAATTCACAATCAAATCCACTTTGTTGCTCAAATGCTTTCTCGAGAGCTTGTACTTTATAATGCTCCATAAGTTTTCTATGGGGTTGAGGTCAGGAGATTGGGGCGGCCATGTCATAACACTCACCTGCTTCTCATCAAAGTATTCCTCCATCAATTTTGATTTGTGACAGGGAGCATTATCCTGCATAAAAATGAGCTTGGTGGGGTCGATTTGCACCCTTTCAGCAGAAGGGAGCAGACAAGACTTTAAAATTCTCTTCTATTGCTCGCTCCTGAGGGTCTTTTCAATAGGTTTTAAGAAACCAGTTCCATGAAAAGAAAAGCATCCCAGAACATTATACTGAACGGATGCTTGACAGTACTTACTGCTAAATTCAAAGAGCTTTCAAAGCTTCTTCTTCGGATTTTAAATCGCTTATCCTTTGAATTTAGCTCAACTTTCGTTTCATCGGAGAAGAGAACATTTAGTAAAAAAAAAAAAAAATAACAGGTGAGTCACTTTTATCGAACATCAGAAGACACGGTAATGATTGTCATCGGTATAAATTGTTCTGCAAGATGGATACGTTAACTTTGACGTAACAACATTCAGAAAAATATTACTTATAAAAATGATAAATTCTGGCACATGGCTGTGGAGTGAATTTGAACTCGCTACAGCACCAGACATACTAGTTAACTATCACGCTACGATCGTCTACCGATTATTGTTATAACAAATATGTTTCGGCCGTTGTACTCTTAGGCTTTCTTTAGGTGCCTATCTTCGTACTCGATTCGAACCGTTTATTCAATATTTTTTCTTCTTCAACTTTCCAGGATTAGGGGAGATAACTCGTATCAGTTAATAGTCATTCATCTTATCCACCTTTGTGTCGCTTGACAATTGAAACAGCTGATCTGATTTTGAGGCACTACCAGAACTAGGGATTGAACTCACAACAGCCAAGGAATTAGATTTGCTTTAACCAAGTCTTTAATACGCTACCATTTGGTTAAATTTTTTAAAAAAGGTATCATAGTTTAGGTTTATTTATTTTACAATGTATTTATCCAGTGAGGATCGAACTCATT